TGATGCTCCGAGATTTGGCCTGTTGTTCTGGGGTTTTCAAGAGTTAATATCTTAACTGACATGATACACACTATGTGACATTGGGTTTAAGATTTGGGTCTAAATAATGCAAGAGAAATTTCAGGGGTATGTTTAGTTCCAAGTCAATGAAATATTTTCTGTTTTATGGGGACAAAGAAATTGCAAACAAACTGAGATTTGACTGTGGTTCTGAAATTTAAGGCTAAAATGGAGGGATGGTATGCCTGTTTGTTGTCGAATATGGGCAGAATTGTGCTTGTGCAGTCAGTGTTAAATGCAGTACCTGTGCATTTACTTTCTTGCTTAAGTTTGCCCAAAGGTATTCTTGCTAAGTTGAGATCTTTAATGGCCTCCTTTGTGTGGTCTGGCAAATTGGGGGATAAGAGGAGACAGTGGGTTTCATGGGTTGATATTGCGAGACCAAAGCAAGAAGGGGGCTTAGGAATTCGTAAATTTGAAGATATTCAAATGGCATTTAGGATGAAGCAGGTACGGGGAATTTTAAAGGGGGGATATATTTGGGCTAAAATGTTTAGTGCTAAATTTCTGAATGGAAAGCATATGAGAAGGTGTGTGGGACATGGAAAAGCTAAAATTTTTCGCATGTTGCAGCCTTTCTTTGTGTCTGTATTGAGTAACTCTCAGGTTTTGATGGGTAGTGGAAGGTCAGTGGATTTCTGGTGTTCTAACTGGCCGGGTTCTGGTCCTTTGTTGGATAGGGTGGGTGAGNTCAGCTATTATGTGATAAGGAGGATAAAATGATACGGCAGTTGACAGAGTCAGGTGAGTTTTCGAGTAAATTTGCATGGCAGCTGGTGAGATCTTCAGCTAATGGTGATCAAGTGGGTTCTGTCATTTGGAACCAGTCTGTTTTCCCTAGTGCGAAGTTGGTGGGATGGAAGATTCATAGGAATGCAGTTGTGGTGGACTCTAATTTCCAGAGAATTGGGGAATCTTTGGCTAGTAGATGTCCCTTATGTTGTCATGCTGAGGAGACTGTGTTGCATTTATTTGTACAGTGTAACTTTTCTAATGATGTTTGGGGGATGGTAGCTGCTGCTTGTGGTTTTAACTTTTTGGCTCTGAAACTCCTATGGTGAGATTGATGAGGTTGGTAAGGGTTTTCAAGAGACATTCCTTGAGTCATAATTTGTTGAGAGGAGTGTCTTTGGTGGTTTTTTGGTTGTTATGGAGGGAGAGATGTAGATGAATTCATGAGGAAGGTAGTATGACTGCTCATACTGTGTTTTTGAATGTCTGTTCAGCTATGAGATTGCAAGCCCATGGTATTAAAGCTAAAGCAAAGCAGGGAGTGATGGGTTTGGATTTCTTAAAAGCTCTGAGAATAGAGGTTGCAAGCCAGAATGCTTCTGATGCAAGATCAGCAAAGAATTAAAGTGTTAAGGAAAAAGTTTGTTATTCTTTGATTCTTTAATTGATGTAAAGGTGCTATGCTGTTAAAGTGTTGATTTTTTGGAAAAAAAAAAAAAATTTCAAATGAACGAAACATGCCCTTAAGCTCTTATATCCTCCCAGCAGGGCAAATGAATTTAATTTTATTATGTTTTTCTTGAAGTTATTTTGTCTCCTTAACATCTTGTGTTGTTTGTTTTTGTATGTCATGTTCATTGGTCAGAGAGACTTATTTTTTTGATTCTTTTGTAAAGTCTTTTGGCTTTTTTTATTCATTTTGAATTAAAGTCTTGTTAAGGCAGGGTCTGTCTGCCTTTTATTCCATTGTAAATAATTTTTGAGTAATAAAATAAAGTATTGATTTATTTGAAAAAAAAAAAATTTTGCATCAAAGAGTAAAAGCTTACACATGGTTGATGAAGAAATTCATAGTAGTTGAAGCTTACACTTTGGTTCATCATGTCTTTAAATCACTGGTATGATTACCTTTTCATTTTTGTGAATTTATGTAAATATTTGATAGATTATCACTAAAAATTGTATCATGGGATAACCATTGACATTTTTAACAAAATACATGCAAACACACATATATATTTGATTATGAAAGGCATATTTGTAATTGTGATACAAATAAATATTTTTTTAATTGATCATCTTAACACAAGTTTTGTAAAATCATTTTTATTGAAGTTTTTTAATGAGCATCCAAACAATGCTTATGAAAGAAAATATTTTTTAATAAAATATTTTTTAAAAAGTAATTATTTAAGAAGTACTTTTGAATTCAATAAACTATTCCAAACACTACCTTAGACCCGTTAGTATATCTGTTAGTAAATTACACTCAGATCCCATAAAGTTTATAGACGTGTAATATTTAGACCCCTTAAGTCTAAAATATTATAATCAAATAAAAAATATTCCAATTGAAGATATAATATCAAATATTTTAAATTTTATAACTAAAATTCATGTTCTATTGAATTATTTATTGAAATAAAATCAAAAATAAAAATTCAATTTTTTCTTAAAAATTTGTAATTATTATACAATTACATTAATTATTGGAATAAAACTAAAAAATCAAAGAAAGGGTTAAACTGTAATGAACATAATATTTTCTAACTTTAATTGAAGTAATTTGATAGTTTAATTTGGTTATTTAAATGATCAAATTAAATTTTAATAGATAGTATAACTGTATATTAATTATAATTTTTTAAGAAAAATTAAAATTTTATTTTTGATTTTATTTCAATAAATGTCATAATAGAATATGAATTTTGGTTACAAAATTTAAAATAATTTATATTCTATTTTTGATTGAAATATTTTTTTATTTAAGTATAATATTTTAAATTTGAAGGGTCTAATTATTACACGTCTACAAGTTTCAATAGATTTGAGTATAATTTACTAACGGATATATTAACAGACATTGATGACATGAGTCTAAGTGTTACGTGCATACAAATCTCAGGAGGTCTGTGTACAATATTTTAAATATTAAGGGGTCTGAGTGATTAAGTGATAAATTTTGAGGGATCTTGGTGTAATTCTTCCTAAATATGAAAGCCAGCATGCTGTAGTTTAACAAACCTTTGCTTGATCAGATTGAGTCAATCAAACCTCCTTGAGAACAGTATATTAGTGAATAGTTTCAAGAAAAACAAAGCCTACCCTAAATCAATTCTTTTTTGTTTAACAGGGTAAGCTTGCCCAGGAAAAAAAAAATGTATGAATTGAGGAGTTCTCGTTGTTATTTGCAAGAATCTTAGGGGATGCTAGTGTAATTTGTGCAAAAACAAAAAAAAAAAATTTAAAATAAAGCCATCTTGTTAAGAGTATTTATTGATTAAAAAGAGAGATCTACTTGGACGGATTTGCCACTCATGCGTTTTTGGTCCAATGATACTTTTTATCTTACGAAAATTTTATTTTTTTGAGGTCAAGTGTTCAAACTCTCTTCACCCCTCTCCCTCCCCTATCCCAAAAAAAATATATATATAAAAAAAAAAACTTGGACGGATTTGCCATTGATCACACTCTCACACGTAACATAGAAATCTGGAAAAGGGTGGATTATTAACTCTAGCCAAGGATGGTCCAATGTAAACGGGCCAGACAAAAACTTTACATGAGACCAGTTAATAGTTTATGTATTAATACATATTATTTTTAATTATTCTAATTTAATTTTTTATTTATTTAAAAATCATTTTATTTTGTCTTACTTTTATCATGTGCTTGGTCAACGTTCTTCTAGATTGAGCTTTTTGGTTATTCTATTGTTCTCCACAATATGACTGACCTTATTGTTCAAATGAACAAGTCGGCACGTGTAAATCGAGTTCTAGAGTATATTTTATTTGACTCTTTCCCTTTCGATTTCGTATAAAAAAAATTATTCATTAATCTTTATAATCATATCATGGATTGAAAAGCATAATTCAAGTTGGACTATGATCAATTCTTTTTTTAACAAAGTTTACTAGTCATAACCCGTATCTGGTGCACAATACAACATAAAATTGAAGCGTCTAAAAATATGATCCAATTATTTTAAATATTAATTTTTTTTTATTTTATTTTTTTAATTACATAATTTAAAATTAATTTGTAATTATTATTATTTTTTTAAAAAAATCGGCAATTATTTTCAAAATATATGATGTTAAAAAAATATCAACATGTATATATTATCAGCATGATGTGATAGACAAGAGAAAAAAAAAATATATAGAGATAAAATTCAACATAGTAGCTATCTTATTTCATAGATAAGATCAAAATCCTCCAAATTTAAATGATAGCAAAACTAAATGAAAATTTTCCTAATTCTATAAGGCGGCATATAAATGAAAATAGTTATCACACAAGTTATAAAAATATTAAAAAAAAATTATATATCATCAATAAAAATTAAAAATAGTAAATTTTTTTATTATAAAAATTAAAAATATGCTACCAATATTTTTTTTTGATTCCCTACAAGTCTCCCCTAAGAAGGAAAGGACCGCTCTCTCATTTTCTTCTTCGCACCTCGAAAAGTGGACGCCGGTTAATGAAACCGCGTGGCATACGTTTACATCTACAGGCGGGCGATTTATATGATGAAAAGTAAACCATATTTTCAAATTTGGATCCTCGTGTTAATTTAATTTTTAATTTTTTTTTCTATCAATTGAGTTTTGAATTTTTTTAATTATATCAATTAACTAGTGTATCTCCGTTAAATTTTCTAACAGAAATTGACGGAGTGTGCAGTTATACAACTGATTAGAGTAAATTACATATATAAGCTTTAAATTATCGCTTTTATGTTAATTAAATTTTTAAAATTTTTTTAGTGTCAATTAAAATTTTAAATTATATAATTATATCAATTGAGTCTTTTCTTTTATTCTATATAGTTGCGTGAATAGCGCACTTTAACAACGGACGTTGATAAAATAGTTCAATCGACGCGGTTAGAGTATTCAAGACTCAATTGATAAAAAAAAAAAAAAAAAAAAAATTAAAAACGAAGACAAGAACGGTGTGAACCCATTTCGACGACCACGTGAATGAAGACAAGAACGGTGGTTCAAAAATTCTATAACTACACAATGGCTTTCCCAAACCCTTTACAATTCGCACCCAACCTGTCTTTTCTCTTAGAATTTTATTCAATTCCTTCTTGGTGTTGTTCGTGTTTTGTGATCAATAACAATGGCGGATGAGGTGATTTTGTTGGACGCATGGAATAGCGCGTTCGGCATGAGGGTCAGGGTTGCATTAGCAGAGAAGGGTATCAAGTACGAGTACAAGGAACAGGACTTGGGTAACAAAAGCCCTCTGCTCTTGAAGATGAACCCAATTCATAAGAAAGTGCCTGTCTTGATTCACAATGGAAAGCCGATTTGCGAGTCTGCCATTATTGTCCAATACATTGACGAGGTCTGGAATGATAAAGCTCCATTGTTGCCCTCCGATCCTTATGAGAAAGCTCAAGCTAGGTTCTGGGTTGATTATATTGACAAGAAGGTATAATTTACGCTACTGAAGCATCATTGCTATTGACAATTGCTAGTGGGTGTGTTTTTTCTTCTACCATTCCCATGTTTGATTTGTTTCTGTATAGTTTCTTAGCGATCTTATAGAGTGCAGGGAGGGGAAGATATTCCCAAGTTATGCTCATAACTTGATAATAAATTAAGTGGTCACCCTTTGATCTTAATGCTTTATTTCGGTTTCGGATGCCTATAAACTGTTTGTTTATATGCCTCACTGAGGCGGAAGAGAGAAAAAAAGGGGGTGGGGGACATGAATCTGACCAGGACCGACTCAATCAATAGGCCAAGTTAGGGAGGTTCTTCGGGTATCAATTTGAAAGCTGTCTAAATCCATCAAGTGATATCTATGTATTATGTAATGCTCAGAATCGTACACATCGAATCACTAATATTAACATGATTGCTCTGTATATGTGCATACTGTTTTATATTAATATGATCGCTAGCCAAGGAAAAAAAAGGAAAAGAAAGAAAGCTACAAATGGTCGACCCTAATCGGAAGTTGTCTCATTTACAAAGTAGATATAAGGTGTAATCATTTCAATTCAGTAATTAGGATGTGTATTTGAAAGGAAGCTCCTTTATAAGCTAGATGCATATCGTTGCGATTTCTTAGAGCCCCATTTTAAAGCTGCTCAATCTGTAATTCTTCATTTCAGAAAACGAAAACATTGATGTTTAAAACAAAATTATATTTGTATGCTTTTTAAACTTACATAAGTTTTAAAAAGGGCTCCATTTATGACTTTCGCTTATGGTCTATTCGGTTGAGTTGGCCTTGATCTAATTTGGTTCTTTCATGTTTGGCAATGCAGATGTATGATGTTGGGAGGAGGGTGTGGTCCTCAAAAGGAGAAGAGCTGGAGGCAGTCAAGAAGGAAATAATCCAACACCTGAAGTTACTGGAGGGAGAGCTTGGAGACAAGCCTTACTTTGGAGGTGAAACCTTTGGGTTTGTTGACATTGGTCTCATTGGATTTTACAGCTGGTTTTATACCTATGAGACCCTTGGCAACTTCAGCATAGAGGCCGAGTGCCCCAAGTTGATTGCATGGGCCAAAAGGTGCATGGAGAAGGAGAGTGTTTCCAAGTCTCTTGCTGACCCTCACAAGGTGTATGAATTCATCAAGGGGATTAAAAAGATGCTTGGATTAGAGTAAAGAAGCATGAGCAAAAGCAATATAACAGAAGGATCCTTTTTTTTTTTTGATGTTGTATTTGAACTTTGTCTTGTTCTTCTTTTGGGAACTTTAGACACTTATGTATGTCTTTGTTCTTGGTGAGTTATTGCAATAAAGGATGACCTTGGTTTTGCTGAGCATTGGATATAAATCACAAGGTTTTTTCATATAAGGACAACTTCTGGTATCACCGGAAGGATTGAAACCACATTCATAGACCGACAATTTTTCTGGATAGGTCGAACTATTGGAAGACAATTTTTCTTGATAGGTCGAACTATTGGAAGCGAATGGAAAAGGAACACTGAGTGGGATCAAAGAAACTAGCGGACTGATCACTAAAAAATCTTGAGGTTAATTATATATAATGTCATTAGGAGTGTCCAAGATCAGGGGAGAAAGTTTTATCCTAAAGAATGAGAAGGTAACTAATAGGTGATGGTGGTTTTAGGCCACAGATCACAGTAAGTATAAGCAAAATTTGCCAAAAGAAGAAACATTGATTTTCAGGATTATACTATATATTTTTTTCGTTCGTACATTCAGCTGATGATTTTTTTTACAGTCAAACTGTATAAGCTTTCTCAAGTCGTCGGTGGAGAAGGGAGACAAAGGAATTTCTGGCATCCTTTGTTGGTCATCCACCTTATTTGACTTTATTATATATTAGGGGTCCTAGTCAACATTCTTAATATTCACTATTTATCTTCATATTTTTCTAATCCATATCAGAATTCATCAGAAATTGAAAATCTGATTGTAGATATTAAAAAAATAATAATGTCTATAATTGAACTCTAAACTAAAATTCAAACAAATTCTTAAATCAAATTAGATTGGATCTAAATTCATAAGCCCAAATAAAAATTAAAGCCCAACCCATAAATATGGAATTAAGTTGGATTAGACTTGAAATGCTATAGACCCAAATAAATAGACAAATAAGGCTCAAACAAAACAAATGACAAATAACAAAAGCCCAAACATAAAGGCCCAACCCATAAGGCCATCCAATGAAGCTCACATAAGAGTATTTATTAAANTAGACACTTATGTATGTCTTTGTTCTTGGTGAGTTATTGCAATAAAGGATGACCTTGGTTTTGCTGAGCATTGGATATAAATCACAAGGTTTTTTCATATAAGGACAACTTCTGGTATCACCGGAAGGATTGAAACCACATTCATAGACCGACAATTTTTCTGGATAGGTCGAACTATTGGAAGACAATTTTTCTTGATAGGTCGAACTATTGGAAGCGAATGGAAAAGGAACACTGAGTGGGATCAAAGAAACTAGCGGACTGATCACTAAAAAATCTTGAGGTTAATTATATATAATGTCATTAGGAGTGTCCAAGATCAGGGGAGAAAGTTTTATCCTAAAGAATGAGAAGGTAACTAATAGGTGATGGTGGTTTTAGGCCACAGATCACAGTAAGTATAAGCAAAATTTGCCAAAAGAAGAAACATTGATTTTCAGGATTATACTATATATTTTTTTCGTTCGTACATTCAGCTGATGATTTTTTTTACAGTCAAACTGTATAAGCTTTCTCAAGTCGTCGGTGGAGAAGGGAGACAAAGGAATTTCTGGCATCCTTTGTTGGTCATCCACCTTATTTGACTTTATTATATATTAGGGGTCCTAGTCAACATTCTTAATATTCACTATTTATCTTCATATTTTTCTAATCCATATCAGAATTCATCAGAAATTGAAAATCTGATTGTAGATATTAAAAAAATAATAATGTCTATAATTGAACTCTAAACTAAAATTCAAACAAATTCTTAAATCAAATTAGATTGGATCTAAATTCATAAGCCCAAATAAAAATTAAAGCCCAACCCATAAATATGGAATTAAGTTGGATTAGACTTGAAATGCTATAGACCCAAATAAATAGACAAATAAGGCTCAAACAAAACAAATGACAAATAACAAAAGCCCAAACATAAAGGCCCAACCCATAAGGCCATCCAATGAAGCTCACATAAGAGTATTTATTAAAATACCCCTAAGGCCATCCTAACTCTATAAATAGAAGGCCAAGGGAAGGGGAAAGGAGAAGTTAAGCAACTAGAAGCCAGAATGCCAGTTGCGAAGCTGGGAAACAGGAAGCCGGGAGAAAAGAAGGACATTGATGCTCTGCCTAAGTCCACTTGCATCCAAGCCAGACAAATCTGTATCTAAGGAGAATAATGCACCACCAAAGTCTTTTTTTTCGAGAGATTCAAGCCATTTTCAAGCCAATTAACACAAGAATGGTGAAAAAATTCACAAAAATATCAACAAATTGAAGATTAAGAGACAAGCTCATTTGGCCCTTGTCTTCACCAAATTCACCCATGTCAGCATCAAATCGAAGATCAATATTTCATCAATTCAGCTCTTGTTTTCATAAAATTCACCAAAACATTGCTAAAATGAAGACCAAGATATACGTCGATTCAGCCTTGGTTTAGTAGATTTGGTGAAAACAATCACCAAATTAAAGACCAAGATACTCACCGATCCGGCCCTTATCTTCGTCAAAGCACCACAAAATCGAAGATTGTGAGGCACATAGATCCAACCTCTGTCTTCACCAAATCAAATCGAGAATAAGAGGATTGTACATTTGAGAAACACGCTAAAAAGAGTCAACACCACTTCTTGTAATTAAATTCAGAGCATCAAAGAATTGTAATTTAACGAGCTTTAGTGTAATTATTAAACAAAAATATTTTTTGTTATAGATTTTTGGCACGTCCAGTGGAACCTCTTTTGCTCTCATCTTTCAAATCAAGGACTCAACAAACCTATCAAAAATGACGACCAAAGAAACCATGGTTCCTTCCATCAACAAGTTAATAGACGTAGAGGAGGAATCACTCCCAACAACCAGTGCTAGAACAAGGGTAGAAAAGTCTCAACTCTTGTTGTCAATCGAGCACTACTCCAAACCAAGCAAAAGGAAGGCTGCTTCGACAAAGAAAAAGTCATATGTTTATTCTTCTACTAATCCAAACAAAGATATTGATGATTGTTCGTCTAAAAATCATTCCAGCATAGGCTCGAGGAATGCATCATACTCTGAAACTTCTCCTAAATAGAAGTGGGGTGATTACTCTTTTGCCTCCGATATGCCTATGTCGGTGATGGTGACAGAAACCACTTCAATTGAAGATCGTCTTCAAGAACTGACCACCACCATTGAGAAAATGACCAAAGCACTTGAAAGCAAAGATATACAAATCTCCGCACTCATGAATCGGTTATAAGTGCAACAGCCTTCAAAAGAGGGTAGCCATGAAACTTTAAACCAATCTAGCAAGAAAACCTTAGAAGATTCAGAATCTCTAGAAGATCAACAGAAAAAAGAGCAATATGATTGCACTGTGACACAACATGCCATGACAGTTTCTTCTCATATGTCTGTTGCAATGCTTTATGTCCAACAACTTCAACACATGATTGTATACACAATTCGAGCCCAATACCGAGGTGCTCCACAATCTTCACTACTATATGCTAAGCCCTATAGTAGGCAAATCGATGTGATTCATATGCCTATGGGCTACTAACCTCCAAAGTTTCAGTAGTTTGATGGGAAAGACAATCCAAAATAACATGTTGCCTATTTCATCGAAACTTGTAATAATGCTATCACGTATAGAGATTTGTTGGTGAAACAATTGGTTTGTTCTCTCAAAGGTGCTGCAATTGATTAGTACACTGATCTTATAGCATGGACTATCGCTAATTGAGACCAATTGGAACGAAAGTTTCTCACTCATTTTTGCAACACCCAACGGATGGTAAGTTTTCCTGAACTTGTAGGAACAAAACAAAGGAAAGTTGATCTCATTATCGATTATACCGAACATTGGAGGAGTCTTGTTCTTTGGGATGCATTGGGGTCTGCTTTACAGTCTGCAGGGAAATATGCACCATACTTTTAAATAACTTGCAACACATGCCCATGATTTGGAAATTCAAATTTCTAGAAGCCATTTACTAAGTGACCCTCATAAAAATAAAGATATGAAGAAAGACGTGAAACCTTCCAAATCAAAGAAAACTATGACAATCACCATAATGCCATTGAAGATTTTTAATAAAAAGTCAAAGATAGACATCAAAGTCGAGCCTACTTAGGATCAGACTCAAAGGAAGCTAATGGCGAGTTTGGAAGAACATGAAGAGAAGAGCTATCACTTTGTTGATGCTGAAGTTCCTAATATCTTTGATCAGTTGCTCTAATTAAAGCTTATCGAGCTTCCAACGCCCAAATGACCAGAAGAAGTGTGAATGGTTGATAATCCAAAGTATTACAAGTATCATCGGATCATCAGTTATCCCCTTGAAAAATGCTTTATCTTGAAAAAAGAGATTCTTTATCTGTTGAATGAGAAGAAAATCAAACTCAATTTCAATGATGATATGATAACTACAAAAATGATAGTGATCATCTTCTGGTCTTATGATCCTACATTAATCTCAAACAAAGGAGTAAGATCCATGTCTCTCGTATGTCCAAATAAACCATTGCGGTTATTGAACTCTTTTATCGTCACAGAAGAACCATCATCAGTTGAAAGTAAGGAACTCACTATTTCTTTTCCTGAGGGAGCTGTGTGAGTGCAATTCATCATTGATGATGAGATGACAACAGTTTATGCATCAGGTATGCTGAGGCATGAAAACCCTAACATCTCAATGCTTTACGAGCTCATGACAAATAATCTAGAGGTTTGGGCATTCAAATCAAAATATGAGATTGAAGATGGTTGGTTATTTCGCAAAAGGGATAAACATCAAGCTTTGACTGTTGACATACAAAAATCTAAACCATCAAGTGACTCATAATTTATGCTGGGGGCACCTATCTTGGAATTCAAATCAACTAAATGGCCTCATTTGGATGATTCAATAACTACTAAAGAAGATGCAGCGGAATGAATTACCATTAAGCCTCAAAGATAAGCAACAAAATCTATTTTTTTCAATTATTAAGCCAAAATACCTCGAAAGAAAGAAGAAATTTCATTCTCGCCAAAGTCAAAGATGCCAAGCAAAAAAAAGAGTTCCCTCTCAGTCATCAACTTGTGAGGACGAAGACTATAAACTATTTTTTTCGTACACCTATAAC